GCTCAAAGAATAAGAAGTGGTAGGGATTTCAAAATATATTCTAAATCTTCATTGAACTTTGTGATTCACTTTTAACAAAAATACCCATTTTTTCTTAATATTTTCTCGTCTAATGAATCACAGTTTCCGTGATCAAAGACATTAAACACAATGAAATGCTAGGCAAGTCTAGACATATATAAATGCTCCAATCTTCAAAAACTAACCTGGCAATTACCATCTCCTTGAACTTTAAGCTCAATCAAATTGTACACCTGCAATCTATGGAAGAAAAAAGCTGTCTACATCATTTAATTCAAAGCACATGCTTTGGTGGAGGTATAACGGCACCAAAATGGGAAAAAGAAAAAGGGAATTAAGCAATTACAGAAACTTCCAGATCCAGAAGGAAAGACAATAAACCTTTCAAGCAGTCTCTGATGATCCAAGGTGGCTTCATCAACTGAGGGTATTTCTCCATTGATTTTTGGAATGTGCTGCACAAAACAATAAAAAGCATGGAATCATAAATGAGACACCTAGCTAAAACTCTCACAGTAAAGAAACCAGAGCTACAACATGAGACCCTGATTGAATGCATATGTAAACCCAAAATTTCCGAAAATAAGCATAAGCCAGAGATGTGTGTCAGGAATACAAATTCGTAGAAGCATGATTGCACTCTAAAAGGTTTTGCCACCATCGATATTTAACTTACTGGCACTGGAACCATCTGATTCAGCCTTTTTCCGACTTCACCATCTAGAGCATACTCGTCTGTCAGCTCTAGTGAACACAACCAATCCTCCTCACAATACAAGTTTTCTTCAGGACTAGAACACGAACTAGAAGGTCCCATATCATCCTGCTCTTCCTGGACACAATCCTGCCCTACAAATCACAAACAGTATGAGCTCAATAAAGCAATAAACTAAATATATCCATCAATTTCAAAACGGTAAAATAACAAAAACAGCAATTTCAAATTTAGCATATACCAGAGCCATAGTTTCCCATAGACTGTCCAAGCCAATCTTGTTGGTAACTAGACAATTGCAACTCCTCTTCCCCTCCATTTGGAGATCCCTGTTCTTCAACAACTGCAAGTTGTGACAGTTCATGTTGAAGAGCATGTGCAATTAACTCATCATTCTCTACATTACAGTCATAATGGTCCTCCTTGAAGTACTGCTCAGGATAATACTCCCCTCCATCGTCTTGTGCAACAACTCCACAGCATCCAAAATTGGCATATGGATTGCAAGGGAACAATAGCATACCCCACTGAATAAATTCAGGATCTTGCTCGTATGTAATCATTTCCATTATATATCTCAGCTCTCAGATACTCCTAATTAAATCTGGAGATTGTTTCTCAGCTACAATTCACATCCCAGCTAACTTTTCCCTGAAACAATCATTTCAAAATAAATCTTACTCTCTCAAGATAGTGAACATCTGGTTTTAAAAAGCAAATCAAAATAAAAACTAAATCTACGACCATGCTGCAAAATGCAGAAGCGATTACAGCTCAAGAATGATAAGATCAAAATGATAAATGCAGCAGAAAATACTCAAAATCAATATACCAAATAGAAATTAAAGAAGAAAGAAACAGGAAATCCAAATCCGCAACATAAACTACACCATTGTAGAGAACTGGATCCGATGAGAAGCAAAATGAAGAAATCTGAAACTCGTTGATCCAAACAAAAAATCATTTAAAAAAAGAAGAAGCAGCAAATCACAATCTGCAAACCTGAAAATCTGCTGAGGAATTAAAATTAATTAATGAGATGAGGAAAAAGAAAGCACGGTCGAGACGCCACAGAAAGAGAGAGAGAGAGAGAGAGAGATGAGAGGAGAGTGGGAAACAGTTTTCGAGAGCGTTAAATTGGAAGTGCTGTGTACCCAAAAAAAAAAAAAAGAAAAAAAAAGAGGAAGAGCTGGACGGCAGACAGACAGGCAGCGAAAGAGACGTTACTTGACGGCGAAAGCATCTTTTTCAGCTGCCTTCGGTCGGGCGATCCTGCTTCCGGTTTTGCGCAACTTTTTCTTAAAAGAATAAATTAAGTATGCTTATCGCATTTATCATTGTAGCTTAGGCTAAAAAAAAAGAAATTTATGAGCAAAAATTAGCAATAATAATAAAAGTAATTAAGTACAATGTATATGTTTTTTTTTATTAACTTCTTAATATTTACTAGTCACATTGAATTTTAATTAATTTAAAATCGAATCTCATTAAAAAAAACTCTCTCAGTGCATTTTTTTTATTTAAAAAATTCAAATTCGAGATTTTACTTAAACAGAATCGAGTTACTTTCACTCAAATCAACAAATTGTTAGTAATACAACATATATGCTTATAATACACAAATGACTCTCTCAAAAAAAATATTATTATAATATATTAAAATTATAAATTTATAATATTACGATACACTATATTTATAATATTTTCAAATAAATATATAAATATCAATCAATTCGAAATTATGTGTACAAATAATTTGTTGTTACATATATT